TTTTTTTCTTCCCCTTGACAAGATTAAGAAATAATCCAATGTGACACCTCTCTTTAGCTGCTGTTTGTGGTTGGTGATCTTGGGGTAAGTCACACTTTCTCAGCCTCAAAGGGATGGCCCAGGGTAAACTTTGTCCTCTGAACAAATCTTTTTTATTTTATTTTTTGGCCTCATTCCCACTTACAAATGAAAAAGCAGTTTGCGATCCAAATTGATGGGTTGGTTCAACAGTGGAGTGTGGTTCGCGCTACATTTGTGCCGATCGCATTTTCTTGTTGTAAAATAACCCACTTCTTGTTCACATTGACTAATGAATAGATTCCAAATTAACCCTCTTCAGCTGTCCGGCAAATTTAAATTGATTCCCATCTGCATCCCATTCACACTTGCGCTGAATCGATTTATTGCAAAAGATGCAGAAAAAAGAGTGTCAAAGATGTGCATTAAATGGGTCTGGTGCAGGACCCCCCTCGCCAAACCGCTTCAGCAATTTGGCTCCAGTGTGAACAAGGATTGTTTAAATCATTTTAAACCGGTTAGCAAACCAGTTTATAACGTAGTTGGAATGAGGCCTTTATTTCAAGGGTTTATATCAACCGCCTTTCTCCCGCAATGGGATTCAAAGTGAGTGACAACAATTTTAAAAAGATAGAATAAGGTCCAAAACACACACTGCAGAAATAATCCGGTTCAAGACCACTTTAACTACACTGGCTCAAGGCTAGGGAATCCTGGGAATTGTAGTTTGTTGTGGCAACAGAGCTGTCTCTGACAGAGAAGGCTAAATGTCTCACAAAACTACAGTTCCCAGGATTCCCTAGCCCTGAGCCAGCACAGTTTAAAGAGGTCTCAAACTGGATTAATTCTGCAGTGTGTTTTGGACGTTATTCTGACTTTTTAAATTATGGTAACCTGCTTTGAATCCCATTGTGGGAGAAAGGTGGGGTATAAATCCTTGCAAATAAATAACTAAATAAATAAATATTTGCTCAGAGGAAGTTTGCTCTTGCCATCCTGAGAGAGTGTGACTTGCCCAAGATCATCTGTTTAGTTTCTATGACTGAGCAGGGAATCGAACCTTGGTCTCCAGAGTCCTAGGCTGCATCCACACCAGAGAATAATAATAATAATAATAATAATAATAATAATAATAATAATAATAATAATAATAATAATAATAATAATAATAATTTCTTATTATTTATTTATATCCTGCCCCTCTACCAAGCAATCCAGTCTGCCACTGCTTAGCTGCATACTACGGAATCTCGGGAACTGTAGTTTGTTCTGGCACCAGAGTCTCTGTCACAGAAGGGTAAATGTCTCAAACTACAAATCCCAGTATTCCATAGCATTGTGTCATGGCAATTAAAGCGGTCTCAAACTGCATTATTTCTGCAGCTTTTGGGTGCATCTGCACTGTCAATGTAGTTTGACACCACTTTAAGTGCTGTGGCTCCATCATATGGAATCCTGGGATTTGTAGTTTTACAAGGTCTTCAGCCTTCCCTTTCAGAGAGTATGTTGTTGTTGTGTGCCTTCAAATTCTTTCCAATTTATGGTGACTTTAAGGCGACCCTATCATGGGCCTTTCATAGTAACATTTGTTCAGAGCAGGCTTGCCTTCCCCTGAGGCTGAGAGAGTGTGACTTGCCCGACATCGCTGAGAGGGTTTCTGTTCCTGAGACTAGATTTGAACCCTCATAAACATTGTTCAGAATGGAGACTGTAGTCAAGAGATAAGAAGAAGACTAGGACTTGGAAGGTCAGCCATGAAAGAACTAAAAAAGATCCTAAAGAGTAAAGATATGCAAGTGAGCACTACAGTTAGTATTCTCCAAGTCTCCAAGCCATTGTATTCCTACAAATGTGGTGTAATGGTTTGAGCATTGGACTATGACCCTGGAGACCAGGATATGAATCCCTGATTGGCCTTAAAAAGTCACTGGGTGACTTTGGGCAAATCACAATCTCTCAGCCTCAGAGGATGGCATTCCCCCCCACCCCAAGAAACTTGCCAATAAAACCCCATTATATGATCGCCTTAGGGTCACCATAAGTCAGAAATGACTTGAACAACAACAGCAACAACAAAGCACTCTCTGTCAGAGATGGCTAAAGACCTTGTAAAACGACAAATCCCTAGATTCCATAGGATGGAACCGCAGCACTTAAAGCAGCCTTCGGGTTGCCATAAGTCAGAAACAACTTGAAGGTACACAACAACAGCAACACCAATGTACGCATGTGAAAGATGGACAGTGTAGGAAGCAGACAGAAAAAAATCAACTCTTTGAAATGTGGTGCTGGAGAAGAGTGCTGAGGTTACCGTGGACAGCCAGAACGACAAGCAAATGGGTCCTTGATCACATCAAGCCTGAAGTCTACCTGGAACCCAGGATGACAAAGTTGAGGCTGTTGTACTTTGGCCACATCATGAGAAGGCATGACTCACTCAAAAAGACAATAATGTTAGGAAAGGTAGAAGGTAGTAGAAAGAGAGGAAGACCATATGCTGGATGGATGGACTCAACCAAAGAGGTCACAATCCTGAGCCTGCAAAACTTAAGCAGAGCAGTGGAGCATAGGAAGACTTGGAGATGTCCCACTCAGAGGCCCACCATGAGTTGAGGCCAACTTAAGGGCAGCTCACAGCAACAGCTCCAGAGTCAAGTCCACCAGCCAGACCTTTCCACCACACTGGCTGTGAAGTGCTGGTGCCTAACAAAACTACAAATACTAGGATTCAGCAGGATGGAGCCATGGCAGTTAAAGTGGTGTGAAGCTGCACTAATTCTACAGTGTTAATGCACCCCTTATCTTTCCCACTCTGCATTCTGCACATGCTCGAATGCATTTCTTTTGCATGTGCTCAGATGCATTGCTTTGCTTGTTTCAGGACTCAGCCTGTCCTCTTCATAAACGATGTTCCTTGCAACACTTTTTCTCCGTACTTTCTGGGAAAGTTTTCTCTTTAGCAGAATGGCTTGGGCAATCTAGCCCAGAGCATCATGTGGAAATTCTCATCAGTTTTGTTATATGTGAAGTAATGAAAAAGCACATCTGAGTATATTCAGCATCTGTAAATACACATTTGTTGTTGTGTGTCTTCAATTTATTTCTGACTTACATCAACCCTATCACAGAGTTTTCTTGACTAATTTCTTCAGAGGGGGTTTGCCTTAGCCTTCCTCTTAGGCTAAGAGAGAGTGACTTGCCCAAGGTCACGCAGTGGGTTTTTATACTCTAGTGGGGATTTGAACCTTGGTCTCCAGAATCCCAATGGTCAAAGCACTACACCATGCTAAGCCTCTTAAGAGAGGTAGAGGAAACATATTCTGCCTTCTGGTTACACCAGGGATAGAAATTTTGCTATTAGAAGTTGCAGTCCAGCAACATTTGGAGGGCCTCATCAGTTCCACCCCTGTTGACACAAACATTGCACCTGATAAAACTTGGCAAATAATTTTTTACATACCTCAGAGATGGCTGATTTAAATAACTGTAAAAAAACCAACACACCAGTCCTGCTTTTTTTTTAAAAAACTATTATTCACGTTTTCCTCCTTTAAAGTATGGCTGTTGCTGTTTTCCAACCCTCTCACTGGAACAACAATGAATCTAAACATTTGAATCTAAACATTTTAACTTTAACAATTTATTGGCAGTTGTTCATGGTTAGGCCATATCCAGTATCAGTTGCTTCTTTTTAATCACTATATTCTGCAAGAAACAAATGTTAAAATTAACATAAACTACCAAAACAACTTGATTTTAAAGAGCACTTTTAAACTAGTGGCCATAACATTTGAACTGCATTTTGCTACTTAGTTTTCTCATTTAATCGTTTGTTTGTTTTTTTTAAATCCTAGTTTAAACCATTCTAGAGAACCTGCTAGAAAGGTTTGAGCCTTGATAACATCGCTCTGTAGAAATCAAATACAAAGGTGCTCTAGTACTGTATATCTCTTTCTAAAAAGCAAATATAAAAGTAAGCTCTCATGCTCAAATCCCAGTAGAGTTTAACCTCAGGCAATGTTCTATTTGGACTGTACCCTCTTAGGAAACAAAAGAGTTACTTGCAGGGTGGTGTTGGGATTTCCTTCAGTAGTGTGGTCTAGAGTTCAGCATTTGTGTAACATAAACATTACAGTTCCACAGTCTCTGGGTTTTGAAGTTTGCCTTTTGTGGTTTGATTTATGGCTCAGTATTTAAAATATTTTTGTAAGTGGTCTTCCTTAAGATGGGCTATTATATTTTTTCAGTGTTAACTGTCAATCAGAGATTCAGCAGTAGGGCTTCTAGGATAGAAAGAATGCATTTTAAGGCAGCCTCAAGCCCCAATATTACTTGTAGACATAATCAATGATGGCTGCCTTTTACTTCTCCCAGACCTTATTCTCTCAAATTGCTCAGTTCGAGGACTTCCTTGCTTAATCTATACCAGGGAAATTATTAAGACTGCCATTGTGCTGAAATGTTTGTCAGGCCTAAAATGAAATAGGACCACACCTTACATTCTTGATAATATGTGTGGCTACTCTCTCTGTTAATTTCAGTGATCTCATATTTTGCTTAAAGAGGTTTTGGCACAGATGTCAAATCTTGGCTTCTCTGATCCAAATCTCACTTAGCCTGGAAAGCAGGATCTAGTCACCCAAAGCTAATTTGAATTAGGTACAGGCTCCTGAGTGTGCAGGATGAACATGATGTGGCAGGATGGATCAATGAATCCCCAGATATTAATTGTAAGTAACTTAGAAACAGAAATAAATGAGAGACCAAAATAGTGTTTCCTGGCAGCTTTTACATCTAACTAGCAGTACGGTAAAGTGGCTCTCCAGGGTTACAGGCAGAAGTCTTTCCTGGCCCTACCTTGTTGGTGATTACAGAGATAAAGAGCTATAACTCTTCAGTAGGGCTTAGTCTAGCAAAAATCTGTGAGATCAGTATATTGATGTTAATGCTGAAATGGTTACTGTTTGTGTGCTCTTCAGATTTCTTTGCATTTTCCTTTATGATGCTTGTTGACTTGGATTTGTACAGTATCTAACATGAGATGGTATTTACTTTCTGCTTTGGGGTATGTCTGACCCCGCAGAGACCCAGACCTGATGTAGCCTCATATGAGAAGTGGATACCTCTTAATAGTGTTACATCCTCAAGAAAATTCTTTCTTTGTATATTTTTGTCTTCCTTTAAACACCAGTGGCTTTCAAAAGGAAACTGGAACAGTTTTGAAGGACTGTAAAGCTGATGTGGGAAGCTATATACCAGGATAGCTTCTCACATTAGCCTTATACTCCTTCACAACTCTTGCAGGCTGAGAGCCAACGTGTTGTAGTGGTTTGAACACTGGTTTAGAACTCTAGAGATCAGGTTTTGAATCACTGCTTGACCTCATAAAACCCACTGGATGACCCTGGACAAATCATACTCTCTCACCTTCAGAGGATGACAGTGGCACCCCCACCCCCCCAACAAACCTGTGATAGGGTTGCCATAAGTTGGAAAGGACTTGAAGACCAACAACAAGAACCAGGATATGTATTGTGATCAAAGTTTCTATATTGTTACAAGCATAGTAATGAATTAAATTCCGATAATTTTATTTGGTTGGATTCTGTTTGGCAGGTTCAGTGTGGTGACTTTCCACATCTTTTAGTATATGGACCATCCGGAGCTGGAAAAAAGACCAGAATAATGTGCCTACTGAGAGAGCTGTATGGATCTGGAGTAGAGAAGCTGAGGATTGAACATCAGATCATAACAGTAAGCCTCTGTTTCATGTTGAAGAGTGTCAATCTGAGCTCTGGTTCTGTATTAATGTTGGGGGCCTGAGCATGTAGGCAAGCTACTTGTAAGAATTCAGCTGACAACATATTTCTCAATTCCTGTACCTCGTGGCTAATAACATCTGGGAAGAGGAGTCAGCTGGCTAAATCCAGGAAGTAGTCAACTCCGCTTTAAACTTTAAGGTGTTCAAATCTTTAAGACAGGAATTGACCCCAGCCTCCTCAGAGGAGGCAGCATTGCTTTTGAAAACCTTCATAGAATCTGGAAGAACTTAAACATAAAAGACCAGTATTAGCTGTAGACAGTATGCCCAAATATGTGGTGGTGGATCAAGTGCAGGCTCTTTGGGATGGAACTAATATAAATTTTGGAGTGCATTTTGGTCTAGTTTTAAGTCTAGTTTTGATCCCAAAGTAGCCCCAGTAGTCCTGTGGGATGACAT